TTAGGTCAGGGCTGGCTGCAACGCCTCCGCTCTTTACTCACCTTCGGCGGCAGCTCCACCCAAGGATAGGTGGCAGAGCTTCAGCAACTAGCTGTGTGACTCACCAGACAGCAGCTCCGTAAAGCTGCCAGCCTGCCGGCCTCCTCTTCCTCTCTAGAAAAATGCTGCCCATATGACTACATCCCAGGGATTAATTTAATATGGGTGCTTACAAGTTTTTATTCTCACACAGTGGTTAATTCGTTACTGAGAGAAGTGGAGGCTTTGCATTTTTTCAGCGAGAGATCTGTCGATATAGGCTGTTTTACTCAAGCAAGTGGTTGAATCTTGGAATAAAGTTGACACTAGGAATGCTTTAAGCTAGATGATTTTCCCTTCATTTTATGTACCGTCTGACTACACCAGAGGACTGGCAAGGCTGACATACTTATTTTACTGCACACTACTTTTTGATGTTGACTTCTGTTAAGACATTTACCATGAGGCTGGCTCTCTTGGCTGCCTATGTTCTAAGAAACCTTGTTGATGTAGTGCAAAAAAAATACAAAGTTTGGACTGTGCGGGAGGAAAATACATTTTAAACTCTTGTGACTCTCATTGTTTGTCTTAGCCTTTTGTGTGAAAACCGCTTCTGCACTGCTCATTATCCTAAAGTACATGCAACAGTAATAGTCCTTCCAGCCGTACTGATTGGTATTCTACATTCTCCTTCATGCCATTCATGATGAATCTTTGTTCTTGGGTCTGAGCACACATTAATGAGAGCTAGTGGGAACTAGCCCGGATGGTAGCATACAACGTCCCCATTTGGTAAACTGATGCAGTTGTCCAAATACTTGGAAATTACTGTGATGGTGTATAGAATCCCATAGCCTTAAACAATATGATATCATGTCTTTGTACTAGTGCAACTTGGGCAACAACATAAACATGTGCAACAGTGTTCTCACAAAGACTGGGCAGTAAAAACTAGTGGACAAAACGTTTTGCTTTTTGTTCAGATGACTAAGAATGGATTTTCCTCGATTTCAGACATACCCGTCATGTGTCAACATCCATGTCTGTGTTGTCCTGTGATGATAAAAGAGAAGGATAGGGAGCAACGCACTTCACGTTGACATAAGTAGCATTCACATGAACGTAGTGTTCCCCAATAAAAGTGGAGAAGATTGTTGATATTTTTGAAACAAGTTCAGAAAAGGCTGGACGCATCTCAGGTTTTGGGTGCCAGCACTTCAGCATGACTTCATACCTGCCATTCAAATAAAAGAAGTGTTCAGTTATGAAATCATGTTAAAACAAAAATCTCTTTCCTCCCCCAGTCTCGCTTACTATGATACCAGAATCTGCAGCATTTGCAGAAGACTTTGCAAACTATTTACTTACAGTGGGTCAGGGCAGTATTCAGGTTGTAGCAGCCTTCTTCCTTGTAATAAGTAAACAGTTATATCAAAAGAATTCACATCAGGATAAGGTGGTGCCCCTCTTGTCATAAGTTCCCATAACAGCACACCAAAGGACCACTAAGAAATCAAAGAAATAAATAATAAGTTATAGGGTTGGAGGGCTTTACATTTTAGTTTTAGAAGATGGTTTGACAGATTTAAGCATTCAAATGCATGCATTTTCCCTTTGAAAAGTTATTTTACTGCCTTCAGGTTTCTTTTAAGTGGGCTAATAAATGCTGTAGGAACCTGAGGAGCCACTTAAATTAGAGCCAGAGAAACTCAACTAAGTAAATGAAAAAAAAAGAAGAAAAAAAAAGCCTATAGGCCTGCTACTTAGCTGGTATAAATTGGCAGACCTCTTTTGAGGTTAATGGAGCTCTGCCAATTTACATGAGCTGATGATCTGACTAACCCTGTGTAAATACATACTGAAGAGAATATACGTGGTGCAAATTCTATGCATCACAGGCTAATTTGAATCTGGATTGAAAGGGGAGCTAAAATACAAAGTGATCCAGCCAAGTAATGACTTCATCTCATAATTTTGTCTTCATAAATGGCCAGGTAATACTTGAGACTGCTGTAGGCAGTAAGTAAGTATTTATACAGCAAATAAAGTCTTTTTGAGAACTATTACATTTTATGAGTCTCAAAGTTAACCTGTTCTGTCAAGCTTTGCAGAGCCCCTCCTACAGCAGGGCCTAGCTGTGACTTGGCTTCTTGGAATGTCCTTGGTCTCCCTTGGAGTGGGATTAAACTCATAATCTTTTTCTGAGCAATAACAGATATTCAGGTCAACAACTTGTTGCTTTGTGATTGGGACAAATACCCTTCCTGGATCTAGAAACAGTCTCTTACTCTTACGTGAACTAAAGTTAAATTCAAATACCAGTTTTGGGTTGGCGTTAGTCCATTAATTAAATACTACAGAGATGCCTCAAGCAATATAAGAGAAATTAATAGGTGATACAATTATGTTTGTACATTACCACGTCTGACTTTGTTGTGAACTTCTGAGTTTGTAAACTTTCTAAAGCCATCCATTTCACTGGCAGTTTAGCTCCTGTTTTATTGTGCACACTGTAGTATTCTTTATCATAGACATCTCTAGCAAGACCAAAATCAGCAACCTTGACAGTGAATTTTTCATCCAACCTAGAGAAATGACAAAAAGTATTATCTGCAACCGAGCAGGTGAGATTTACAGTGATGGTGGATTATAATGAGTGACTTGCATTTTTTAGACTGTGACTTTGGAAGGCAGTACTTTATCCTGGATCTATTAACTAATGTAGCAGTGAAACAAAAAGTGCAGCAAAGTACACTTGACACCCACTTAACACAGTGAATGAACTCAGGAAATTACTGACATTGTTTTGATAATATAATTTGAATTACAGTTCTTTTAAAACAATTGCTCTGTATAAAAAGATTTTTGCTAACAGCCTATACATCCTGATTGAGTGCTACATCATTTCTTCCACAGCTGTTTCTTCTTCTGTACCCTTAGAAACAACTCATTGTTATTTCCATGTCGAGGCATCACTTTTCTTATTCACTTTCAATTTTGGTAAGGAAGGACTGATCATTATCTCAGCAACTGCCCGTATATAACAGTGATGTAGTCGTGTAACTAAGGCTGTGTTTGGTGTCTGTGCTGGGAAAGAATGGTGGCATAAGGAAAGTTCTGCTGGAGTTACAGCTCAGCCACACCACATCTCCCTAGTTTTGCTCCTCCTAAGCTTGGTATTTGTCCTGATAAGCAGTATGACTGTCAGAAAACAGACAGAGCATGGGTGTTGGCATGCTTAAGCCTATCCTTCATACGTGTGCAGACCTGGACACAGCAAACACTTGCTTTTGGGCTTCTTTACAGAATCATACAGTCATAGAAAGGGTGAGGTTAGAAGGGACCTCTGAAGATCATTTACTTCACCACCCCCGCCCCCACTCAAAACAGGGTCAGCTACTGCAGGTTGCCCAGGACCGTGACCAGTTCGGTTTTGAGTATCTGCAAGGATGGAGACTCCACAACCTCCCTGGGCAACCTGTGCCAGTGTTCAGTCATCCTCAAAATAAAAGTGTTTCTTCCTATGTTTAAATGCAATTTTCTCTATTTCAGTTTTTGCCCACTGCCTCTTGGCCTGTCCCTGGGCACCACTATGAAGAATCTGGCTTCATCTTCTTTAATACACCATATCAGGTATTTATATACATGGATAAGATCCCCCTAAGCCTTCTTCAGGCTAAAGAATCCCATCCTGCTCAGCCTCTACATGTGGCATTTCTCTGTCTTGAATTTATGGAGCTTCTGTCTGGACAACTCTCCGGTTTGTTGAAGTCCCTCTGAATGGCACATGACCATCTACTGTATTTACTGATGCAATAACTAAACCAATACCAATGAAGGGAGTAGGAGGGAACTTTGATGGGTCGACAGGGTACAGTTTATTCCACAGCAGCTTTCTGCACCTCTTCCAGGGTAGTGGAAGAGGCAAGAGTCCATGGGCACTGTATTTACATCCTGGCCTCCTTCCTGATGGACATCACCATAGTGGGAAAGGCTGTGCTTCTGAGTGACAGGTTGCACATGGCCACTGGGCAATGTGGGTCTTCAGCCCTACATCTTCATCTCACGTGGCAGCAGCTCTCCAGGCTCTGAAGCACTGAGCCACGCAGAACTACAAAAGCAGTCACTCAGTTGGCAGTGTGAGATATCCTGATAGCTGTTCCCTGCTCACCCAAGGAACAGACAGTAGGCCACAGGCTACTGCTATTTGGACTTTGATTAGATGAAGCAGGACTGTAGTATTATTTTATCCAGTAACCCAATTCCTTTCTTCTTAGGAAACCTAAAGATCATGTTGCTTATGGCTTTTTTCCTCCCTTAAAAACAGCATCTGTAAGAAAACTTTCTTTTCCAGAGGCTGTTCAGATGCACGAGTGTGCACTCTTTGAAAAAAGAGTAAGAAATCTGATGTCACAGGTGAATAAGCTTTTTGCTGCTGCAGTTCCAAATTATGATGTGGTAAAAATAAACTCTAACATTTAATCCTGTACCTCATTAATTCACAGTATAGATGATGAATTGGCATAATAGTATTGGCAACGCCTTCATCAGTTTGTCTTTGTGTGAACTAAACTGGCTACCCAGACACTAGTGAGATTCTTTGCATGCCCTGATTTTTTAATGTTAATTTGTGTGCGCAACTGAGCCAAGGTAAGCCCATACTCATGTAATGAAAGATTACTGTCAAGAGGTCTCGCTGGTATTTCTTTGTGTTCCTGTTTTTCTCACAAAGTTCCCCTGAGTTCCTCTCCCTCCTGCTAGGTGCGGCAGTGGAGACGTGCTGCTTCTGAAGAGGCTGGGTGGAAGCACAGCAAGTTGAGACAACAGCAGTTTAACTTCCCTTAGGAGATGCCTTTTAAACTCTCTAACCAGTGATTTTGAAAGGCTATGCTTTCACCTCAGCTTTTCTTATTTCCCACACTCAAAAAAAGCTTATGTGAAAGAAGTGAGCCCTTAGCAAGCCCAACAGCTCATCAGTATGCAAGACAAACATCAGTACAATTAGGGAACAATGAAAAAACATGCTATTTTGACTAAAAAAGCAGCATCCTGGAAAATTTCATTTATCTCATCTCACTGTCTTACACAGAAGAGTGTGATAACGTGGCTGGAATTCAATGTTTGTACTTACATACAGTTTCTTGCTGCCAAGTCTCTATGAACAAACTTTTTGCTTGCAAGGTATTTCATCCCTTTTGCAACCTGAAGGCCAAATCCAATTAAATCTTTTACTGTTGGGTTCTGTAAAATAAAAACATTTGTGATACAGCGAATGCAGAAGCCCAAGGAGCAAAATATTTTTTGTTGTGACTCTCAGTTTTTGACACACCTATCATGCCACCAGAATGATCAAGACAGGCTGGTGCTTGTAGTAAAGCTGGCATAAGTTTACGTCAAGTTCTTACCACCAGTGAGGAAACACACTTTAAGAAATCAAAAAAACTGACACACTCCAGAAGACTCCACGAGTTTGCATAAGCAGAAGCAGCATGATCTGCACTGGGAAGTGGAACAATATTCTGAAACCTTAACAGCACAGCTGATACACAAAATTCAGATTTGTGAGCTTAGAGTAATAGCATGTAATTTAGTAGTAGGTACTAACTATGAACTTGGAGCTCATCAGCTGGAAATGACCAAGAAAAGGAAGAGTCCTATTTGGGGAAAAATAAGTGGAAGCTTATTTACCAGTATGATGGCATGGAAAATGCAAATGAGACCTTCGTGGTTATCAGAAGATTTTCTGCAAAGATAGGTAACTCTTTCTGCTGGTCTACAAGGTGAGACCTTACTGAAAATGTTAAATATCAAAAAAGTATAAACATAAATTTGTAATTCTTTTATCTAATAGTATGAATTGTTATGTAATAGTAAGGTCCCATAGTTGTTGGGATTTTTTTGTGTGGTTGACATTGCTCCATATCATTTTCCTCTATCGAACAATCCCGTTTCAACTGTGATGATCATTATTCTATTTCAGGAAGGACCACAACACCATTCACAGACAAGGGTCCTGGTGCTCATAGACTGGAAGAAGCTTAAAAGCGAAAAGATGCCTACTGCAGAAAGCTTAACTCCCCAAGAATTTTTTAAATTGTACTGGCTACTGTCGATTGCCATAGATACAGGGGCAAAATCCTGTTGTCTCAGAAGTCACTTTATACTGTCCTAGCCCTGTGAAATGGGTGAAATACCACAGTACTGAGTACGCTACCTGAGGGCAAGACTTGGGGTCTCATACTGGAGAGAAAACAGTGAGAAAGGTTTGAGAAATCTGAAGTCTTTCAATGGGAACAGGGAAAATTTCTGAAAATAGAATACTCACAGATTGTGTAACAATTACTGTTTTTCTTTCTTATGGTAAGAAGAAAAAATTTTGATAATAACAGGATTGTGACACTAGCTGGACATGAAGATTCCTTACCTAGGAGTTGAAAGAGCAGATGGTGACGACTGGCACAGCTGTGCTGAAGTCAACAGAGATATGCCAGTTTAAACCAGCAGATGGTTGGGCCCCTCGACTTAGATCTCATAAACACATTTGTTTATAAAGAGGCTTATGGATGGGAAATGAGAAATACTTATTGCTGATAATTTCTGGGAAACATTCTAGAGAGGAATTTGAGGGGGAAGGGAAGGAGTGGCAGTGCTGTGGTCAGGCTCGGTGCCAGCCTGAGCAAGTGCTAAAGGTTAAGGTGTAGCAAGAGCAGCAAGTTATAGACATAATGTAATTATCACAGCTTTTAACGTGTGGTGTTGGAGCAGGGCGTGGCTAGACTTGCATTACCGTTCGGTAGACCTCACCATGTACTTACATGAGTCTCATTCCTAATGAAGTTTCGAAGATCTCCGTGTTTCATGTATGGAAGAACGACTAAGGGGGAACCTTCGTTGGGCAAACAGATCCCCAGGAGCGACAGAACATTGGGATGAGTGAAATCTTTCATGATTATTCCTTCTTTCAGAAACTGAGCTACTTCTTCCAGGTCTGTAATCCCTGAGAAATCCAGTAATAAAATGAGTTAATTAATGAAACCCAAAGAAACTACAGTTCATTTCCGTAGAGAGTGTCATTGCACAACAAAGTGATAATGAGAAGCTACAAACATACATGCTCCCCACCTCCCACATTACAGCTAGGTTATGCACATCAGCTTTCTTACAACAACCAAATACAGTTTGTTGGTGATTTTAATTCCGTTTTTCCTTTTCTTATCATGAACTATTTAGAATTGAATAACAGCATTTGAGTAAAGTCTTTAATAAATGTTGTTATAGTCTATTCCTGTTTGTCCAGCAGGTTTGCCCACTCTTCAGCAATTTAATTTCCAAACCCGAATCTTCAGTAGTCAGTAGCATAAAAAATGACATCGCCTATCTCTCATTTTCCTATGTCTTTTTCACCAATGCCTCATGGTAATCTGAAGTCACCGGAATTTCTGCAGACATAAATACGATCCAGCTGCAACTAAGAATCTTTATTTGTGAAAGTACACTTCACTGTAATTAATTAGTTCACCCTGGTTATCTTTGGAATTATAGTAATGTCTCACTATTAAACACGTAACTCACTATTCAGTGACTTCACAGCACAATGAATTTTCCTGCCATCATTATCCAGCAATGTCCCATGGTACACACACCCAAAATGTCCTGTGTAAAAAAATGAGAAAGATTAGCTTTAATAAGTAAAATTAGCTTTCTGGTATTTTCCACTGGGTGGCAATTATGCCTTAAGAAAGTGATCACACTTCATTTATGTTCAATTCCCAACCCTTGTAATGTATACTTCATAACTAACACATAAAACTACCATTACATAAAACCACCATTACATAAAATGAAAACTCTGTTTGCAGAGTAATTGATATTTCTTGACCTAGATGGAGTGTATAAATAATGACAAGGCTGGCGCCACAACTGCTTCATGTTCTTGTAATGACTGCGCACACAAAAAAGCCAAGTCAGCCCGTTCCCATCATACTCTTCTGTGAGATACATGTCAAAGGATGGCACTGGAAGGCACTGGAAGGCACAAGGGAGCAGTTGAGTGATGACATGACCACTGGGTCAGAAGTTCCCAGTAGTCTTCATGCCCATGCAGAGTGGCCCACTGGATTGTTTAGCCTTGATGCATCTTCAGTGGAAAGCTTCATAAGGACAGTCACTGCGGGCTTAGACCCTCAGGTCTTCCTATTCCACGGAAAATGTTGAGCGTTACAAGTGGTGTGTTGGCCATGAACAGTTTGGGAGTTGCTCTACTCACCACAGACTGACCATGTCACTCTGGGCTCTGCTATGGCCTGGTTCTGAGTGTGAAATGCCACTAAAAGATGATGAGCAAAAGTTGCCTTCTTTCTCATGGTCTAAGCAGTGGAACAAACTGGCAGGCTTAGAAAGTTCTTAGAAGAATCATAGAATCATAGAATGGCCTAGGCTGGAAGGGACCTTATTGATCATCTAATCCAACCTCGCTGTCATGGGCAGGGACGCCTCTCAACTAGATCAGGCTACTCAAGGCTCCGTCCAACTTGGCCTTGAACACCTCCAGGGAGGGGGCATCCACAACATCTCTGGGCAATTTATTCCAAAGTCTTGCCACCCTCGTGGAGAAGAATTTCTTCCTAAGAGCTCATCTAAATCTATTCTCCTTTAACTTAAACCCATTCCCCCTTGTACTATCAGTGGACACTCTTGTAAAAAGTCCCTCCCCAGCCTTCCTGTAGGTTCCCTTCAGGTATTGGAAGGCAGCTATTAGGTGCCCCCGAAGTCTTCTCTTTTCCACACTGAACAATCCCAGCTCCCGCAGCCTGTCCTCGTAGCAGAGGTGGTCCAAAGAAGAATTCATAGAAATTCTTCCTGATCCTGTGCTTTCCTGCTAAGCAAATGGGGTAGTCTATGGAAACCTACTATGCGGAAACCTACTATGAGAAGTCAGGTTGACACGTTTGGGAAACAGAGAGCTTTGAGCTCCAGGCATGTGCATTAATTTATCCAAATCAAATGTACTGGTAATAGTGGCTTTCCTTCACAGATTTACTATTTACTTTTAAAATACTAGTATTTGCAGTTAGAAAGCAAAATAGCTTTTTTGTCAAGTGTGAGTTCTGCAGAGAACAAGACTATCTGATTAATTCTGCTAGATTCCAGTCATAAGCACTGGTCAGAGCCCAGTTGGCTTTGCTTTTGGCTTGGGGTAAAATTAATACAAAGTTTGTTTTACAAAAGCAACTAAAATCCCATCAGACCACAGATTGTCTGGAGCCTGGGCACAAATCCTAAAGCCTGATGGGTGTGTCTAAAATATTTTGGGGTTTGGCCCATTTGTAGCTATGGAGGAGAAAATTAAAAATGGTTAATTATATTGGTCTCATTCCTGATATTTTTCAACACTTAAAAAATGGGAAATCACTTGGACTTTTCTGAAACAAAACAGAAAAGGCCCACCCTTGCTTTGGGGATGATGAACTGTAACACATGGAAGGGAAACACACTTACTGTTTGATTTGTGGCTATTTTGCTGCAGAACAGGCATTAGGAATATAATTTATAGCCAAATTTTTGGTCAGTATTCTGATACTCAACAAGAGACCTCTCATGAACAATCTGTAGAAGCGCTGAAAATCCAGGTTCTACTTGGGTTACTAATAGGTACTCAGTAGTACAGAGTTTAACAAATGCCTCTAAGAGAAATACTGGCTTAGGCTATGAAAGAAGGAGAGAACCCGCTTATGGAGATGTAGAGGAATAGGAGTGATGGGAGAAAATCAGAAAAATAGAGGACTTGCTATATCAGGCACAAAAATAACGGGAAGTGAATCAGGAGCTACGCATTACTGCAGCTGGGATGAGAGAGGAATGAGGGGGAATGGAGAACCTTCGGCTGGAGGAAACAAACACCAAATTCCTCAGAGCTGAGGGAAATGTGTGGAGGGAAAAGGGGTTTGTGCATTTCACCTGGCCCATGGGGACTTTTACTGGCTGCACTAGTGACTGCAGGAGTTTTCTGTGTTGTGTAGCAATCCTGTCAGCTCTTAGGCTCCAAGTTTAAGGTTGCTGGTGCTCCCGCCTCAGCATCCTCTGTCTCACTCCTGCTCCGCTGCCTCACGGATGAGAAGCCCAGGACAAGCTTTTCTGTAGCTGCCTGAAAAAGGGTGAGTGAGGGAGCTGAGGGGGAGCCAGCAAGTCTCTGAGTTCAAAGGAGCCCCATTAATTGGCAGACTCCTTCCTCCCTCTGGTGGTCTTCTCCAACTGATCAAATGCACAACCCTTCATCTGACTTCAGAGGAGAGCCCCTTTGTTCCCTGCTTGATTCGGAGCATGGGATGCAGCGCTGTAACAGGTAAAAAGCTTGAAAAGCCTCCATGTAGACACCATCTACAGAATAGTTTATAATGAATGGATGCACAGAAAGAAGAGCAGTTTGTGAGGCAAGAGCACAGTACCCACCTCTTCCTATTACTTCGCTGAAGTGCACGATTAGGCTGTCAGCACCAATAACCACATGCTGCACTTCTTTAACCAGATCGGGATTTAAGGCACTGATGTCAATGTGGACATTAGTTTGGAGAAGTGGGCTGGCTAAATCTGAGTCTCCGCTAGACAGAATTGGGGAGAGGTCAGAGTGAGGATACTGGGCAGGTCTGCATGATCCATTCTGAGACATGCTTGGAAACTGATCTGCAAGATGAACAGAAACTGTTACAATCCTTTCAAAATTCTCCTTGGAAAACAGAGAGTTTTATTTCATTGGTAAGCAAGGTTTGAGTTTATCAGTTTGGAAGTGGCTTGGCTTTGCAGGAGTTTTGGTCACAAAGGGAAAATGAAAATATGCATTGCTAATCTGCCAAACTCCAGGAAAACCATGTCACTAGAAACTTATGCTTGTCTCAGCTCTGCTTTTATGAAAGCAAATGGCAAAACTTCCACTCTTCTGAGGGGATGGAATGAAGCCTTGTCACTTCTTGCCAAGGGAAGGTTACAGCGTTTCTAGTAATTGGGAGTAACAAGAGTAAAATGGAAAAATGACACCAATATGGGAGGAGGAAGTAATGAACAATTAAAAACATGAAACCTTTTATTATTGTCATGTTCTAATTTGGTAGAGAACTTTACATTTCATGAAGGTTTCCAAACTGCTGGTGACTAGCTATATTTATCCAATGGTAAATATTCAACCAGGGAAATGCCTAGAGGTGATTCATATCCTGTAACTGCCGAAGATAATAAAGTTGGTGCTACTCATGAAAATAACATGAGCCAGCTGATTTAAAATAGCAGAAATTAAAATGTTTCAGTCAAGCAAGGAGCATTTATTTCAGAAAATTATTTTCATCCACAACATGCTGCTCAGGTATTTTAAATTGCTTTTGTTTAAAAGATTTTCTTTTTCCTAGTATTTTATGTAATAGAATCAAAGAACTAAGTTTAATTTACATTAATTTCAGTTCGGAATGATTCCAGTGGAGTCAATGAGCAGAATCTAGCCCAGGGTCAAAAAGTAAAAAAGGGAATGAATTTAACAAGAGAAATTATGAGATACTGTATCACAAAGAGTAGAAGATGCTGTACAGACATGCTCTATATATTTACGTATAAAACTTGGACAATTTTCATATAGTGCTATTTTCACTCTAGGTCCTGAGAAAAACTCAGTGATGCTCTATCTAGAAGCAAAACTACAAATGCTTACATTTATGTCACCAAGGGCAAATAATTTAATCACCATGGTAAAATACTTTAACTGTGGCTGCAAAATAATTTTTACAGCTGTTACAGGTGAGTCTGCATGTTTTCTATGTTCCTGTCATTTTATCATTTGACGGTAATCAAGGTAAACAGTCCTACATGAACATCAAGTGAATGCATCTCCTTCTTGGGTGCTCTCCCTGCTGCACTTTGCCAGTGCATGGTGGCCCCAAGACCACCGCAGATTTATCTTCCACCAAGGACCTTTGCATAGTTTTGTCTCGTGTACCACTTTCTCTTCTAACCAGAAGCACAGGCTTTCCTTTTCCTTTGGGAACCTTCCAATCAAGCAACTTCCTGTGCGAGCTGGTGGCAGCAATTAAAGAATCATAAAGGAAGCTCGGGATGGGCCTGGCTCTCAGACAGCTCCACGATGGGGGATTACAAAGGTGGAATAAGGATTTGGAGTGATTTCTATTGAATTGTATACCGCAGCGTCTGAAATAGTACCAGACTGTGTCTGTAACAAGACTAACAAATATCTGTGATATCTCAAATATCATAATATGGTAACTTGTAATATTTACAGACTCTTCAGCGGTAATCACAGAACACGGTTTTCACGTGTTTTAAAAGACATATTCAGCCTACGGTGGAATGATAAGCACAGCAGAGTGCTCTTCTGGAGAACACCCATTCTAAAATGGTGTTATAAGGCAAAAAAGGTATTAAGCATAGGGTTATTCTTCCCTCATGCCCACAGGCCTGGAAACAAACAGTGTGTTTTCTGAGAGCGGCAGCTCAGTACACACTGACCTCCATTCAGTTTGTCAGTTTTCACATCCTTTTATCTTAAATTTTAAAATCAACATTTCTGTCCCATTTTACAGGAGGGGTATGAACAGACAAAAGAGTTTCAGTTTGCAAAACTCCATGTCCCATGTGGGCCTGACAGAGCTGCTTTATAGTGACTGTATGAAGTCGCTGAGATGCACTAAACCTACAGCTGCCCAATTCTATCCTTAAAATCACTTTTTTCAGAGTGGATTTGTGCATGGTGTGATGGACCTCATAATAACACAAAATCGTTATATCCACTAACTCCTAATAAATTGCAGAGCATAATTACAAAGAGCTTTTACTAAGAGTATTTTATGTATTCTTCCAGCCTGAGTAAAAGTAAAAATCCTCTGCACCTTAATCTTGGGAAGCACCTGTGAAGCTCAGTTCAAACAGCAAGCCTGTGAACACGTGAAAGCCCCAAACACTGCAGACAGTGACAAACTAGATGAGAAACTGAAATTAAGACATCAATCAAAATAGCTATCATCTGAAGACGCAGGAAGAGCAAGGTGCATTAAATATAATCCATAGAGATTTGTAACAGAGGCATACCTTCCAGAAAAGTTGATCTGTAGTCTACAGATTCGCTTGAAACCATTTCTGTTGTTGGACTTACACTCCTTGCGCTTACCAGCCTGTCCAGGTGAGGAGTGTGTACTCTGCCATCGTAGCGCACTAGGTCGCTTCCCAGATCTGAAATGGGAGGAGGAAGAACCATTGGAAAACTCTCATGTTCCCTGTGTACCGATGTTCATTCAGGTATTTAGTTCAGATGTTCTGCTCTGCTGGGAAGAGGGCTGGGTTGCTGCTGAGCCAGACGTGGATAAGACCTCAGCTTGAGCTATTTATACAGCACAAGTTAAAGCCCCACTCTTGGCCACACCAGAATATCCACCAAGTGAGCTTCTAAGCCTCTGGGGCCAGCTTCATGATCTGACTGTGATACCGTGCCAGAACAAGACCCGATTATACATTAGCTCCCCTCCTCCACCCGCCTTGCACAGTGTGGCAATGCCCACTGTAAGGAAACCCAGACCTGGGGGCCAGAGAGGAGGCACACTCTGACCAAGCTCCTGATTTGGGTGAACGGGAGACCAGGACACCACAGCGCTCTGTGTCCTGCACAACCTGGGTGACTACGAAGCAATTGGACGAAGCTGAAGTACTCGTGATTCCACGCTCGTCATTTATCCTTCCCCTCCTCCAAGTTTGACTGAAGAAAAGAGGTCAACAAGTTTTTCTAAGAGCTCGGAGTTCCCTCAAAACTCTTCTCCTGTAGGCATAGCGTGTCCCTTCACCCAGCTCAGGCAAGAGCCAAGGGCGGACATGCAACTACACATCAGACTTGATTGTGAAACCTCTGCTGACAGGTTATGGCAGGGCACTGCATGGCATTTAACAAAATGTCAACTTTTAAAATCTAAGATATAATAATGAAATTATTTAGTGGAATTGACTATGACGGACCTTTAATTTGTTTCTTCTTCCTTCTCCAGAGGAAAAACACCAAAAATATAAAAATTAATACTGATGTTGAAACAACTCCGGCAATTAGTCCTGTGAAATTCTGATCTTGCCGGATCAGCACTTTTCCAATAACCGTTGACAAAACTTCTTGCTTCCACTGAAAAAAAACAAAGAAAAAAAATAGCGTGATGATTCCAAAAGACAAGTAAAAAGTAGATTATTAGAACTAAAGTATGAGCTGATACGTCCCATATGTATTAAATCTTGATTTTGTGATGCTGTACTGCGATAAGACACTGGGAGTGGAGAAATTATTATACTGGTGTATGCAAAAGCAGATCTGCATTTTTATGATTCATTACATGCCTTGAAGAGCTCCGGTAGTGACACAGCTATGTATGGGCTACACCAGACACACAGCATGCACTCTGCATAACAGGGTCCCACTACTACCAGATGTTAATCCAAAATGCTAAATTCATACTTTTACCCAAATGGTGCACGGATATGTATGGGCCTATGGATATGTGGACTGAGAAGCACGTTAAAAAAAAATAATTGCCCAAATGTCTTTAATATGTGTCCTTCTGGCATAAATATGCTGCAACATCAAACTCTCTCTGTTGACAGCATGCCTGCGTTTCAGTTCCCAAGGTCACGTGAGCCTGTCCCTTGCCAGCTTCTAGCTTGTTGACAGTTTAAAGAAACAAAACAAAGCAAAGAAACAACCCCAAAAATCAACAACAAAACAAACACCAAGCAGCTAACAGGGAAAAACTGTTTTAGGTCACACGGCACTAGCTCAGTCAGTTGGAATGTATTTGGCCATCTTTTCTCCTCCTCCGGTGGAATTCATTCCTCTGGGTACTGTAATGATGGATTTGCCCGTCAAAAGAGCAAATTTTCTTCTTCGCTGGGCAGACTGCAATTTCTGAGGCTCCTTGCCAGTAAACAAGCAGAAACCTTATTTAACCCCTTTATGTTGTGTTCTTTTATACGTAAGAAATACATGTCACGCAAATCTGTTTCTTAGTGGTTAAGGAGGTATCACATAGTAGAACTGACTGAATGTAGCGGCAGTCCTGGCTGCATAAGTAAAAATATGAACAGAAATGCAAGGTGTGCACAACTATTATATGAAAGTAGGCATTTACAGATCTGGAAAACAGATACACTGAAAGGAGAGCTGCATCTAATTGTACAGTGCCATTACGGTACATTAAAAAAAGTGTACTTTTCAAAATAAATTAATATTAAAAAATAATATTTAATTCATTAATAAAGCAAATTAGTTATTACTGTTTACTTAGATTGTAGTAGCACAGAGGAATACCATTTGCAGCCCAGGATCGTATTGAGATGAACGCCATAAAGACATAGGAAAATAGATGGTCCCTGCACCAAAGAGCTTACATACACCCTGCTCCTAATTACACTTACATGACTGCCAAAGTTTCCACTGTTTTCAGTGAATAAGAGCCCATGATTAGCAAATTTCTTACTTTAAAAGTAATCTCATTCCACTGTGATTTTCCCTTTTTTATATAGTAAAAAAATACAAATATATTGGAAGATTTCTGTCTTATTCTATGAATCACTGGGTCAAAAAACTCTCTACAATTTAAACTTTCAGTAGCGCTCTGAATGACTCCAGTGAGGCAACCTTTAGAACAGCAGTGGAACTCAAACATTTCTTCTAAGTGTCTGCATCTTTTAAAAAGAATTTAAATGAAACTGTAAAAAGCAGGTCAAAAAAAATCTTTCAGGAGGGATCTGATCCTCCTGATTGCAGCAGAATTTTTTGCTGAAAAAGCGGCTCGTGAGCTCCAAAGCAAACCTACTCTGTTATAGCTTCTCACTCTTCCCCCTATGTTTCCTCTTGTGTTTCGATTAATAACTATCATTTTATTTCTGTGCTTATTTCAGGTCCTACTTCGTGCCTAAGGCTCCAGAAAGTCTCTGTGCAAACAGGTAATAACAACAATGATGATAACATTTTTTTAAAAATAGTCGATATTATTTGAATTGCCATCCCAAACAAACAGAGACAGAGATAACTCTGTAAACATAGGCTTAGGCTTAAAGTTGATCGGTTCAATAGTGACATTGGGGATGATAATAAAAATGGCATTAATATCTCACATGTGGTGTAGCTGCCTCACCTCTATCTTTAGCTCGCTGTTGGATTTCAGGAGATCGCTGGGAACGGTACACAGAATTGATTCTGACTGCAGGAGGAGGTTTTCGCAGCTTTTATTTCCAACTTTTAGCACTTCTCCTTTAACAGCTTCTGAATCAATATAATTTCCCTTGTAAAAAAAATCAATTTCATATTACATAACCATCTCATAAAAGTTAAAAAGCCCTTTTATTACCTTGGAAAATGTTTTTAATAGAAAAACAATTGAGAAATAAATGACTAATGCAAATTTACATTGCCCTGCCAATATGCATGTATCCTTTTTTTTTCACGTAAATGGGAGTTTACAGCTAAAATCCACTGTCAGCAATACATCTACAGCACATACAGACTTCTAAAAATGTAAATGTCCGAGGGATAGATCCTGCCGGTCCTGTTTAGATTTTTGCATAATTTGCACAAGAAAGGATGCATTATGTGACCCTGTTGTTTATACAAAACTAGCATTATATTATCCACACGCTAAAGGCATCTCAAACATTTTGTTTTGCGAGTGGTTATGGTAGCAGAAGTGAAGCTTTCAAAAAGAACTAATTAATTGTAATCATAAAAATCCACAAATCTGTTAAAATCACATTCCACAGACCCAAAAGGAACAAACCCTTGTAAAGATGACAGCCTGAAATGTGCACTCCCAACTCGGAAAACCTGCTTTCGCTTTGCAGACTTGGATGAAATATTATTCCTTCTGGTACTGTCACGGTATTGGCACAGTACTGTCCAGAGGCCAAGATCAGGATCTTCCCCCAGTATTTAAGAAGCTGCCCTCCCCCACATGCAGCCCATCTTACAATCGAAACCCAGGCATATTAAGCGGGATTAAAAGAGGAGAAGGGAAGATGGGGAGTAGTACTAACACAGGCTACTTATGTGGGCTGGATCTAGGAGTTTTCCATGAGAAGGAAGTCATCATTGCTGACACTGCTATGAGGCCTCCTATACTGGGAAAGAAACAAGAATCCCCCGAAAAACAAGAAGCCACATCTCAGGTAAATGCTTTTTAACTGCCTGCCAAAAAAGTCCGTTTTGCACTGTCTTCTGTGTACTTGGAGCCATTCTGTTCGGTGTTAATTAAGTAAATATTCAGTGGGCCAGGGAGCATGTGATTGATTGCTTATTAGGATGGAGATTTGCTGCAGACAGTGAGCCATCCATGTTCAAATCTTTCCTTTGAATGATGTACCTCAGAAGACTTGAATATGAGTCTTCCATCTTCAGGATAAATATATTAGCCTGCAGAGTGCAGGCGAGTGGCCTCTTTTTCTTCCACATCTTAAAATCTTTTTCTCCACCAAAACTGATACTTATCCAAAGGAAAAACAATCATACTCATACTTTGTAAGGTGGTCCTTAGCCAGCTGTAATGATGATAGTTGCTTTTACTTACTACCATTACCATTATATTACCATTAACATATAGTTTCAAATGTATTCACTATAATATCTCAAATTATTAAGAGTTTCAAGTAGTTTTGCTCTTTTAAGAACCATGGAATTTGCCTGTGATTTTCAGAAAAGGAGGCAACTGGCTCCTGCAAGAACCAAGGAACAATATTTCCTATTTAAAATGTCTATTACCCCCTTCTTGCTGACAAATGCCCTTGCACACAAGCTGGAGAAGCTCATTACTGGACTGAGTAGCTGTTGCAAACCAATCTGATGGATCAACTTCCTCACAACTTCAGAGAGATGGGAATAATTCGGGTGAAAGTCTAGAAGCATTAGAAGGACCACAAAACAAGGAGCGGAAATATTGTGACTGGTGTCAGAAGAGTTTTTGAGATTCCTAAGCAGAGTGTGTTGACTTGGGAAGAATGAGGAGCTACTGCAACTGTAGGGCTTCCACTTCAGCATGCTCAGAAGTGCCAGGATTTCCATACTGTACACTCTATTGGACTCGATATTGAGAAAGACATCACTTTTTGTGTGATGTGGAAGAAAACTGAAAATTGAGTGACCTATAAACATACAGGAGGAGTTACTTAAGACTGTCTCATAAAGGATGGATTCTAATGGCTTAGGAACAGAGCAGGCAATTTACCAAGTCTTGTCCTACTCTGAGTTTTAGGACAGATATGCCTAAGATCTCAGACGTGCTGTGTTACATGAAATGACAATTGCTCTACTTAATTCTCTAGTGAAAGCTTTATAAACAGACTTTAGTCACTTAGTGACCCATTCCTAGGCCTCCCCTGGAAGCATGCACAGAGTCCGCGCACTGGCTTGGTGCACAAGCACAATCACTGATCAGGCCAAACTGAACAGACTGAGGTAAGATGCTGTTTCTTTCCTTATTTTCACAGTTAGGACATAGCGGGCTGTCAGCAAGCCAGCCTGCAGGTCTGGGTCAGTGGCTTCTGGGGGAGGCAGCAAGTAGACTCTGTCCTCTTCAACAGACTCAACCCAACAGCAAAACAACAGAATCTCTCTTGTCCTGAGAGCTTCCCGTGCTGGCAGGAGATGGGAGCACTTCTGAAGCGGTGTCTGTATGGTGATGAAGCAGAGAAGTGCCACTCCGTCATGACCCCTCTGACTGTGGCACGGTGGGCACTGGGAGATTTCAAAGAGCCACATACTTGGCAGAGGAAGACAGTGAAGATGTGAGACCTTGCGAGGCTTGGTAGTGTGGAAGACAAAAAGGCTGGCACTGAAGACAAGAAGGGCTGGCACTCATGGCACACTATGTTTTAGATAGAAGACTTAATGTTTTCTTGTGTGTAACGTTTTGTTACAAAAACATCTTATGGTCATCAGGGGAAACCAAACAGAACCTTTCAATTGGTACCCACTGTCATTTGGTGAAAGCCAAATATGTCACACTAGATTAGTTTGATTGAAAAACTTGTGATAAAAGCTCCCTCCACCCCTCTGAAACTAATTAAGAAAAAGATAAAAGAACTTTGGTTTGGTAGAACAGACTGTTCACTGAAGCAAGCTGCCATTTAATTTCATGCTGAGTTTGCTTAATTACTGCACAAAATATGACCATGAGGCATGTAAACTTGTGTGTGTGTATTTTTGAATGTGGGTACGGGACGAGGGAAAAGTGTTGCCAATATGGCTTGTAATGATCTTTTGGCTCCTGATTATAATTTCTGAAAGTCGCCTCACTGTTTTGATAGAAGCATCCCACTAGAACTAATTCTATTTAGAGGAAGACGTTAAATTGGTGCTTGTTCATGCTTTGTTCTAGGAGACCAGCTTTCACTAGTTATTCTCCAGTTGGTTGTCAGGAAATAATCAGTGCATTAGGCTTAGGTAGACATCTGCATTGGGTGCCATGACTACAGGTGACATCAATGCTACAAAATTGTGACATTTGTCAGTCGTCAGTGGGAGAGTGCTAGGCCAGTCTTTGTTATCTGAATGGCTTCTTCCCAGCAATAAGTAACACTTCAAAGGAGAATAAAAGGTTCCAGAGTAAAAGAAAGAAGAGAGTCAAAAACTCCCTAATTTTTAACCTCGGTTCCTGGGAAGATTATGGAGCAAATCCTCATGGACACTTTTCCAGGCAGAGAAAGTACGAGAACACAAGTGGGAACAGCCAGCATAGGTTCCTAAGGGTGGATTTGGCCTGAGAAGCCTGACTGACTTCTCTGAGGAGATGACTCGTTCTGTAAACGAAGGGTGAGCACTGGACACAATGTTTATCTTGATTTTAGCAAGGTTTTCAACGCAGTCTCTCTTGGCATTGAAAACAAATGGGGATGGCATGGACTGGCTGGATGGACCATAAGATGGAATGAAAAACTGATTGGCCATCCGCTCAAAGGTGAACCGCAAGGTGAAATGAGGAAGGAGTGTGCCACAGTAGTGATGAAGGCTCACCACATACTTTAGCAGTAGCAAAGCCAGTGGATTGTAGGTGATTGTTTTCCTCTGCTCAGGACTTGTGAGCCCACATCTGGAGAACTGTGTCAAATTTTGAACCTCACAGAATGCGTGGGATACTGACAAACCTGATGAAGCACAGCAGAGGGCAACTGAGATAGGAAGGGAGCTGAAGCACAGGATGCACAATACAGGATTAGTGGAGCTGATTTTTTTTAAAGCTATAAAATCTCTATTCTTGGAGATCTTCAAAACTCATCTACACACCACCATAGGCAAATTGACCTAATTTTTAACTTAGTCCTGTTTTGAGCAAGGGGCGTTAGACTATGAAGACCCCCAGAGGTTCCTTCCAATCTAAATTATTCTATGATTGTTCTCAAAACAGTCTTCTTTCCAACTGGTTGATATGCATGACCTGGAAAATACTGGAAAACACTGCTGTCACTGCACAGAGGCACTGAGCCATGCAGCAGCTATATATTCCCAGCTCTCCGCTGACCCGCACACCAGAACTCTTTCTAGTGTTTTCTGAACAGGAGAATTGCTCTGCAGTGGGGAAGGGGTGATTCTATGGTCACAAGTACCAAGCAGAAAAACAAAACAAAAAAATAAAACTCAGGCTGATTATTCTTTCGAATTCTCCCAGAACACTCTGTGGAAACAGATCAGTATTAAGAGAGTTGACTGGAACCCAGTGTGGCTGACAGAGGCTCTGAGGTGATTTCCTGCAGCTCAGGAGCTGGCCCACTGGATCATCTTGGGAGTCAAAGACTCAAGATTTCATGACTGTCATAGGGTAAAAGAGTTTTGGCTTACAGAGCTATGGAAAAACTACACAAAGAGATGATGCCAGCATTAAGACTGATTGTCCTCTGCAAAGCAATTGTTACAGATTATAATCTATAGAAGTTAAAGCTTGTCTATATAAATTACATACATACATACTTAGATACGTAAAATGGCTCAGGTTGGATGGACTTAAAGACCATCTAGTTCCAAGTCCTCTGCCATGAGCAGGGACACCTCCCACTATACCGGATGGATCAAAGCCCCATCCAGCCTGGCCTTGAACACTTCCAGGGAGGGGGCTTCCTCAGCTTCCCTGGGCAACCTCTTCAAGTGCCTCACCACTCTCACAGTAAAGAATTTCTTCCTCATATCTAATCTAAATCTGTCTCTTTCAGTTTGAAACCAATACCCCTTGTCCTGTCATTACACTCCCTGATAAAGAGTCCTTTAAGTACTGCAAGGCTGCTGTAAGGTCTCTCCAGGGCCTTCTCTTCTCCAGGCTGAACAACTCCAACTCTCCCAGCCTGTCCACACAGGGGAGGTGCTCCAGCCCCCACATCAGCTTTGTGGGCCTCCTCTGGACTCACTCCAACACATTACATGTACATAACAATAAATTTCATAAACATCCATTGTAAATTAGAAATACCTGTATTTATACTGATTCTATTTGATACTCTAACTTGGAAAAGCACTAGATTTCAAGAAATTGGATTCTTCCAAAGTGGATTTAACTTTCCCTGCAGCACAGTACTAGAGAGCAGCCCATGCCTGAGACGGCCCCAGATTCCTAAGAAATGTTTCTCAGCACTGTGTAGGCCATTCTCAGTGCTCTTTTAAGAGGCATTCAGCATCGAGTTTGCATTTTTCATGGATTCATAAATATTTAGGCTACAGTGGTGACTGATCCTCATGAGTGATTTTGCGCACAGGCCAGAGTTTCCCTCAGCTCTAGAGAACCAAAGCTGCTAGGTCGCTTTCTAAAGAAAACTCCATGTCTTTCGTGCCGAAGGACACAAAACCGTGTGACAGTAAGAGCCAGGATTCACGCGCAGACCACGCACTTCAGGTTCTGGGCTGCTGGACATGTTTAATCTGACCTGGTGATGCAGAAGCTAACACAGTGTGATCCTCTCAGAAGATGAGAAAAGCCCCTCCATCACCCCTCCAGATGCCAGCAACCACTCTGGTATATATCTATGTTTTCAGTTCTGCATCTTTTAAGTTGTGGCAGCTGGGGGCTCAGGTGAAAGCAGTACCTAACACACTGCCCCTTCTGCCCTTGCTTCTTTGGAGCTTTCTTTATTTCATCAAACTATCTGTTCCATGCTATGCTGCTGATGTGTGCTTGCGAGTGAATGAAAATCAACGTTTCTTACCTTAATTTCCAGAACGTTTTGGTTGCCTCTTGAGATGAACACTGGCTTTTCAAAATGCTTAAATACAGGATTATTTACATAATCAAAATCAAAGTACAAAGAGCTCACACCATCAAAAACAAAGAACACTTTGGTTACAAAGGGTGGTTGGAGATTGAAGGCTTTCAGTGAAGGAGTTGTACAGCAGATTATCTCTGAGCTAGAGCGGTGGCTGCATGCCTATAAGAAAAGAAAGAGGTAATTGCAGTAAGTACGTGCATAGGAAGTCACTGATGAACATAACTGTTCTTTAACAATACACATATATTGAAAAAATAAACACCAGGGTTCTTGTTCTTCTTTAACCAAACCAAGATCCTGATCAGCACTACACAGTGGTTATTTAGAGCTGGGAGAAAAGTATAAAAACTTCATGTCAATGGTGTTTGCACTCTTGTTGAGGAAATGTTCAAGTAAACAAGTTTCCTGGCCTGATTGTTCACAGCACTTTTAAAGTAAATATTTTGCAGATAATTAATGGAAAATGATTTTCAAAGCCAAGGACCATCAGGAGGCTAGCCTGATGTACTGAGCAGCCACGATTTAGCTTACTCAGCCTGTGTCAGAGTGACTGCCACATGAATTTTTCTTCCTTTTTTACTAACAGAGCAACAGAAAGGGACCAAAGAAGGAGGTAAAAACATGGTCAATGAATCTGACTCAAACAGCAGAAAACTGAAGTAAAGCATTGTTTACCCGCAGTGTAGCCAAGTCACTATGTTTCCAGAAAGACACCACAGACTCTGTGAGAAATTGCTTTAAAGCTAAAGCCAAAGCCATGGTGGGATTCTGGGCCACAAAAGCTCAGCAAAGTGTATCTTTCTAAAAATTTATGTGCAAGGCCCCAGATGTGTGCCATTCAGTGACACAGGTGTGAACCTGGGAGTGCTGACTGCAGGACGTGCTTCACACTGTATCTCAGACCAGATGGAGATGTTTGCCCCTCGCTGCAGCACAGGAGCCTGCGAACAGCAGGTGTGAAGCCACACTTGCCCCTCACTCTGCTGTAATTCCTCGTGAGGGTCTGCTCTGGAGCTGCTGGTGCACCCCACACTCCAGAACACCTGCCAGAGCATGCTCTGTCCTGTGGGGGTGTGACCCCGTGTGAAAAGCCTGGCTAGGGTGCTTCCCTCTACCCCATACCGCCTTGACACAGGACTCAGGAGACAGGGAAGATGGACCCAGTTGTCTCCTAAAATTACTGCTGTATTGCAGCCTGATCTGAAGCAGAGTTTAGGCAGTTTGCAGGGATATGAATCCTTGCAGATGGGATTCATCCAGCCTGCAGCCAGAGAAGTCCACTGGAGTTAGCTGTCTAACTGGCCTTTGCAATCAACAGAGGGAAACAGGCTCACCTAGAGTGGGATTCATCTGGTCCATTTTAGACAACAGCTTTAATTAGATTAAAACTGCTCTAGGATGGCCAGCTTCTCCCTCTGGACTGTGAAGGTTTCTACATGATGAATTTGACTATTATGTCAAAAGCATATCTACAGGCAGCAATGGGAGGCACGGTGGGTGCTGGGCAGCATCACACAAACTGCAGGGTGGCTTGTCTGGGATTGTATCGTATACTCCCCTCTCTCTGTGCCTCCCTTTCATGCTGCCTGTCGTGGATATGGTTGAAAGACTTCTGGCAAAACCAGAATTGCTTCAGCTCCACAGAAGCATTGCTCTTCCAACTGTATAAAAATTCTCTAAGTAGTTCCCTGTACACTGTGCCCTGGCAGCAGAGATTACACTTTGGTTTTTTAATAACATAAATAGAGTGGCTGACATGTGCCCTGGTAAGAATGGGGCTTAGCTCCCAGTCATCATAAATTTTACATTTGTTCCACAAGAAATTTTCCTAGAAAACCAACACTGCTGTTGAATACCTTTGCACAAAAAAGATACATTTTTCTGTTTTGTTTTTCAAATTAAATTGGTTCTTATTATAAAATGCTGCCTGAAGGAGCTGTGAAACAAGTTCACATTTGTCTTTAATACGCTAAATTAATGCAATGTAATTTTGCTGTTTCAAATCAGTGACATAACCATTCAAGCTATATTAGTTATATACTCACATTAGCTTGAAAAGTGGGATTAAATTAGCTATCTAAAAATCAACACCTTTTCTTATCACCGCAGCAGTTCATGTTTCTCTGTGTAATATTGTGAAATTTTGAATCTGCCAAGGGAAACATTTTCAAGGCTCTGAAACTGAGCACTACAGTTCTTGAGCTCTCCTACAAGGCTTACATGCCTGTGAGCTCGGCACTCAGTTAAATAACTTGGTGCAACTCTCGGTGATGCTAATGGGACTTGCACCCATGTAACTAACAGCTCGTTTGGATTCCTAGCACAAATTCAGAAATATTCGTGCATCCCCTGTGACAACAAGGTAATGTCTGGGATGCAAGACAAGGCAGAATTTCTCTCCATTTGCTTACAGTATTAGACTGTTCTTCCTCTTTTGAATATCTCGTTATACACCACTGACTCTGTCTCAGGCTTTGTTATATCACATGGATCTAGAAGTTTATTTAAATCCGTATCGTAATAATAAGATGCATCATTAGTATAATGGATGATCAAGCGATACTTTTCCAGGATATATGAATATTTGTAAAGATCTATCATACTGCGTCGATTCTCAAAAGAGATTCATAAAATCTATATATAATTTTAAAACCAAATATGTTCCAGGTAATCACTGTATTTTTGATTAATGTAAATTCATTAGACTTTTTATCTACTGTAGTGATGTCCCTTAAATGAATAGCAGTGGTATTCATAACTTTGTTTGTGGCTACCTATTAGTATCAGATACTTTACTTTATCAGGCTGGTCTCTGAAGACGAAGCTTTCAGAAAATGATAAAAATCTAATAATACACTTTGGAGGGGATGCAATGTGACTGATTGGTAAGGTCAAGAAAAATCTTATTTGCAATGCCCTTATTGCTACATGATTTGACATGACATTTTTACCTTGAAATTGGTTTTAGCAATTGAAGAATATGACGGTTTAGTTTTCAAGAAATATTGGATTGACGATCTATAAGGAAAAAAACCCTAATTCAATCTATTGCCTTCTCAGTTAAGATACTGCCTATCACCCAGCACCTTTAACTTTTATTTAATTAGGCTTTAAAGTACATTCACTTTAAAAGCTATGCCTACGTTGTTCTTCTGACCATAATCTACATCTGAAGACAATAGGGAAGAAAAGATGTAAAAATTATGGAGCATTTCACAAGCCTAAGTAAATACTGTACCCCAAAGGGAATAATAATCCATTGCACAATGCATATGACTCATCCCTTAAAGGTATGTATTCTTGTTTCATTTGGAAAATATGACCCTTGAGGCAATAAATTCAAACCTGACCTACAGAATCTGAACTTTGGTGCCCAATTCAATTTTTTTTCATCTGATAGAACAACAGAAAAAGTATGAGGGAGGATCTCTGAATTCCAGAGGTCTCCCAGCAGCTGACCCCAAAAAAGTGGGGCAGTTGGACATGTATTACAGGATCTGTAGCAGTCATAAGGGAGAAAAGGGCCAACTTGTCCTTTCATAAAAAGTAAACTTCTGGAGTTCTAGTGAGGAATGAAAGATGAATGAGCTTGAAGACGGATAGAGAGGCTCTGCAACTGTCTTTGCCAAGGCATGATTTCTCAGTAGAAAGAGATGAGAATTCAGGCCCAACTTGAAGAAAGCCCGTTCTGTGTAGGTGAGAAACTGCGCAATGACACTCAAGCTGAGTATCCTGAAGATTGTTCAGAGAACTCATTGTTTTTTGCTGCCATTTCAGGTAATGCAATGGATGGCCCTAATGGATTGTAGCATTTTCTTTCTAGTTGTCGTCTTGGATGAAGGCATGGGAGATGATACTTCCAGTCTATCAGACCATTGGATCAGAAGGTAGAGTAAAACCTCTCCCGTTCCTGGGTCTGAGAGCCATCCCTTCACACGTCATGATCAGCACTGACTGGGAGTCTAAATTACTCCCTGGACTTGGGGAGGTCAGTGTACCTGCTAGAACCACATTCCTGGGACCGCAGTGAATTCACAGCACAAGCTTTTCCCTGACATTCCTTGCTGCACTCCTTCCTTGGCAGGAGATGTGCATGAGATGCAGATTCAGCAAAGAAAGAAAGGTCAGTGGTTCCCCTTCGTGAGGGAAACTTTGCTGGGCTTCTGTGGCAGCTTTATGCCACACAGTCAATACAGAGAGAGGCTGCAATCCTGAGCGTCTTCAGATAGGTACTCAGGAATATCTTTAATAATCACACATTCACCATCCACAGTTTTCAGGGAATTTCTTCTGTCAGTATTTAATAAATCTAAGATAGACAATCACAGGTAGATTTTGATGAGTATTATGAGTTTGGATTGTTCATGGACTTGTAAACATTGAAAAAACTACAGGGTATTTTAAAATTCTCCTGTAATGCAGCAGGAAATGGAATCTAGTGTGGAGCAATTAAGAAATGTTAAGATCATTCAAGAGACTACTTACTGAAAAAATAATTAAAAGTCTGTGGAAAAAGATGATCTTGTATAGCTACAGGGTCAGTTGTTGAAGGTCATGCATTAAAAGGTGCTCCTCCTTAAATTTGCGACCTTTCCTATCTTGGGACATTCATGGTTAGAAGAGATTAAGAAGTGGGAATATATAACCAAATGGGTTAATTGATGGAATATTAAAAATGCTACAGCACAGGATCCCCAAATGACCACTTGTTCACTATTGGGGAATCAATGCAAAGTACAGGCTTTCAAAGAGAAAATATTGGCCTCGAGTGCTTCAGAAGCAGAAGAATCATCTAGCACAACTTACAGCAGAGGCTAGAAGACTTTAATTTTGTAAACGGCATCCTGATCAAACACATGCCAAACTGTGCAAAGCTGTTTTACAGGCACAGTGCAAAGTGAAAGAAAGGAATGAGCTGCCTCCCTCCTTGTGCACCTTGCAGAGGAATCGGACGTGTGAGCAGAAGCGAGAGGGTTTGTGTATCCTTATGCATTGTCTAGAGCTGTTGGGAATTTATGCAGCACTGCCTAAATTAATATTTTTTGTTTCTAGTCAGAACAAATGGTCAAAAGAATTAATGAAATACAAATTAAAAAGAAACACATTGCAAGTATTGAAACATATGGCTCAATAACTCTAGAACATTTTTTTACTTATTGAAATACCAAATTTGAAGAAGGCAAAATGCATTATTTTCATAGTGTTAACACAGAATGTAATATAAACACAACTAGTGTGAACATAGTATTGAATAATTTTAAGGAAATTTAAATAAATATGAAATGAAAATGATAAAGTTGAAGCAAGGCATTTTTGCCTTATAGAAGAAAGAGTTTCAGAAATACTGAACTTCAAACATGAAAGCTGAAAAGCTCAGCGTAAATGTTTCTTCTACAGAAGGATGGCATACTGCCCCCAAAACTTTTCAGTCTCAGTGAAATTGCATTTCTTGTGGGAAGTTGTTCCAGGAAAATTCTTTTTACTGGCTGTACTGCTCATCTTTTCCACGGGGGCAGAAAGAAAAAGGCAGAGAAGAGCAAACGCCCCAGGGCCTATCAGCTGGTTCTGCTCCTTGAGGCTTTGGGATGCAGAGCATCCCCAACAGCTCCCGCTGCTTACACAAGTGACCCTCTGCTCACTCTGTGACTCCATCAGGGCTCTAGGCCACAGTCACACCCAAAGGAGTGAATTAAGGGCCTGCGGAGAGAGAGCTGACATGAAAAGTCGTAGAATCATAGAATGTTAGGAGTTGGAAGGGACCTCAGAAGATCATCTAGTCCAAGCCCCCTGCCAGAGCAGGATCCCCTAGCGCAGCCACACAGAAACGTGTCCAGGAGAATTTTGAAAATCTCCAGAGAAGGAGACTCCACAACCTCTCTGGGCAGCCTGTGCCAGTGCTCCGTCACCCTCACAGCAAAGAAGTTTCTCCTCATGTTGAGGTGGAACTTCGTTTGTTCTAACATAAACCCATTATTCCTTGTTCTATTGCTGGGCACCACTGAGAAAAGATTGTCTCCTTCCCCTTGACACCCACCCCTCAGATACTTCTATACGCTACTCAGTTGTCTCCTTTCAAGGCTAAACAGCCCCAGTTCTCTCAATCTCTCTTCCTAGGAGAGATGTTCAAGTCCCTTAATCATCCTTGTAGCTCTCCGTTGGACTCTCTCCAGTAGGTCCCTGGCTCTCTTGAATTGGGGAGCCCCAAACTGGACACAGTGTTCCAGGTGTGGTCTCACCAGGGCAGAGTAGAGGGGGAGGAGAACCACCCTAGACCTGCTGGACAAACTTTTCTAAATGCACCCCAGGATCCCATTGGCCCTCTTGGCCACAAGGGCACATTGCTGTCCCATGGACAACTTACTGTCCATTAGGATTCCAAGGTCTTTCTCCATGGGGCTGCTTTCCAGCAGGACATCCCCTGATCTGTACTGGTGCCTGCCTTTAAATCAGGCACCACCAGTTTTAGGCAAAGGGGAGAGGGCCTGGGAGGTGGCAGAAAGAGTGATCAGAGTTCTAGGCAACAACACTTACCAGGAGAATTTGGAGCAGTTTGGTTTGTATTAACTGGAAAAGAGAAAGGCTGAATCATAATGTAGTGCAAATATGTAAAACTAGCAGGAGAGACTAGTAACCTGTTGTTCGTGCCCACTGAGGGTTAAAGAAGAAGACAGCTAATTAGCAGCTAGGATTTGGGTTAATTATTAGAAAGAAGTCTTTCCAAACCACTAGGTAAGCAGGTAGAGCAGCTCTCTCCAAAGCTTGTTTAAGCAAGGTTGTGAAATTTCTTTCACAAGGAGCTTTAATAGCAGCCCAGACAAATATCCGTCAGGCAGCGGTCTGGGTACATTTGCGGGCCAGGCTCGGTCTTTGTGGTCCCTCCCAGCTGTAGTCTCCTTTGATGCTTTGGGATGTGTTTCAGTGCTGGCTTTGGTTTTCCCAAGAGCCAGAGTTTCTGAATGCTGACAAAAGCAGCTTCTCAGAGGAGGCTGGTGAGAGAAAAACTGAGAAGAAAAAGTGCTTAACAACAGCTAAGGAAAGTGACTCAGCTCTCCTCTCTCAAACTAAGGAAGCCAAAAGGTATATAACCTCAGCTATAGGGCTTCTTGATCGTTTTGATTCGTGTTGCACTGCTTGCCTGGGTTTGGTTTATTCAGGACCACAACCTGTTCTCTCCTTTCTAAATGGGGCAGACACTCATTGCAATGCTCCAGATCTCTGCTGGAAATGGTTCCTCATCATTGTTTATTTTTGTAATGACTGGATGAAAGTTTGCTTTTTGGTAAATTGCTCACTCACAGAGCTCAGAATCTTTAGCGCAGGATGGGGCAGGCTGCAGCCATAGGCATCCTCCACCAGCAATTTCCTCAGTTACACAGTGCAATCTTGTTTTGCCGCTTATAAATCTTCCCCTTCCCCCTGAGAATTAATATCTTTCCTTGAGAAATAAGCTTGAGGTAATGACTAGTGGCAGAACAAACGGCAAGCAGAGCTGGGCTGCCACAGAGGCCGAAGCCTTTAACTTCAGCAGAGTAAAATATATTGCTTGGGCAGCAATATAAAGTATAAACCACTCTGGATTAAAATCCGTTTGAGGTTATAGTCCACCCTTTGTGCAGGGAGAGTAAACTTGTGTACAGATGCTTTTACACCAGGGCAGATGGTACGTGACATCCTTATAGAAAAGGAGGGTCAGACCTGCCTCTTCTGGTGTGTTGGCAAATAACACGTAGACTGCAAGGTATGACAAGGAAAAGGGAGGTAATTCTGACTATGTCCATGTCCATGTCTTTTTTTCAATAGCAGGTTAAACAGTAGGATAGCAGCAAACCATTGCTCAAAGAGAAGTTTGGTCCCCAATATTTTTGGGGAGAGTAAAGTCTGCAGTGTTCATTGTCTCGAGTTACCAGCCGCTTCTGGGTAGTGGATTTAGTTCTTTAAAACTTCAGATCCTTTCCAAGCTGTTCAAATTCTGAGGAATTCCCAAATATTTGACAAGCAAGGTATGAAAAATCAGGGCCTGAAGAGAAGCGATACTGCATATTCTCACCGGGAAAGAAAGAAAGCAAGTGAATGATCTTTACTTAAAAGAATGCTCAAATCCACACACAGAAAAATCTAAAAAGTTGATTTCAGCAATGATATTTTCTTTGGAAATCTTTTGTACCTTGAAATAATCATGCCCACATTACTCAAAACCTATTAGATTTTGAGTCTTGTTGATTTCATTGAAATATTTTGCTTTCTGACTCATGGGTAAAATGTCTTTTTGATAACATTGAACACTGTATTTCTTTGCAGGGGCACTGATTTTCAGATTAAAATCTGAACCCACTGAATTACAAGCCACGATTACATGCAGCTGAATTCAGGTCCTGACACTCATAATACTATACAAATTAGGATCATGAAGAATATTATGACCTTGAAGCTACAAAAGACTGCCAATTTGCAGACATACCATTTAAAATGCTTTGAGCAAACCTTGGTCTAATACTTAGAATTCAATACAGTAAAGAGTGTATGATCTTCATCAGAAATAAGCTGAGAATATGAGCAGCAGCGTGGCATGTCACAAAGGATGGAGGTTAATTTAGCTTAGTAACAGACCTTACATGGTAAGAAAGTGTTGGAGGTGCAAGACAAATCTGTAGGCAAAAGCTTACAGGAAACAGTTCTACTACAACTAGCCAATAAATGTCATCTTTGCCTTATAAAAATTAAAGTAGATCACATGGTCATATCTGAACACTTTATTTAGATACAGACACTGTGTATTATCAACTCAGGTAACAAAAGAAGGCTCAAATCCCTGACTGCTCATGCAGAGGTACCCAACTGCAAAAGCCTAAACCTCCCTTAAAACGCTGCTGCCGAACTTTGATTAAGTTAGGAAAGATTTGTCCTGGTAGGTATTTTGGCAATCGTATATTCTTCAAAATAATACAATTTTATATACTTACTTTTCTACTTTCTTTGATACTTGTTCCATTTTCCTGTTATATCCACAGTCACCATTTGAATATATTTCCTACCTATCACAGTAGCACTTGGACTTGCCATGTAATCTGACACACCTGTATTCATTGTTCTGTGTTTAGTCACTGAACTTGCATTGTTAAATTGCAGTATAATGATCTTGTTATCAGACACTGTAAAAGCCTTATTTCTTTGGAAGAGATTCCTTGGAAACCGCTGTTCTACCCTCAGCTGAATTTCAAATTTGTTCTTGAGTTTTGCCTATGCAGTAGAAACAGTCTGTGCAGAAAACACCACAATGTCGGTGGAAACCCTCAAGTTCCAAGGCAAAAATCAAAGTATTTTGACTGAAAATTCTGTGCCATTCAACACAAGAAGATGACAAGATAACAGATTGTCTTCTCCCAGACTGACTCACCACTGAGAAGTTCATTCCCAGTTTAGGTACAGTAATCACCATCTGAGGAAAGCACACTGAGTTCAAGTTGATTCCCTGAGCTGTGATTGTACTTCCACCACTAAAAAAAAAAAAAAGAAAAAAAAGAAGATGAGTAGGATAATGATACATCTGCTATGATAATCTTAATTACAAATTATATTTTAGAGTAAATGACAACATAAAACCAGAATTAGGGATATATGGGGTGAATGCAAATACATAGCTCTGAGCAGTGAGATTATTTTTCTGGGAAACAAATTATACACTTGCTGTAACAACTAATCAAATACAAGAAAAGAAAAATACTTTTTAAAATTGTGGTGTGCTAGGTTATAAAACAAATGTGTACACTTTAAAGGAGGGTGTATACTTGTACATAGCATTTGCTAACCTACCTAACTTACTACTCTCAGTGGTGCTGAAAAAGGTGTCTTTTTTACTGCTGACATTTTTTTGGCAAAGGCGGATGGCTTAGATTAGAGCTACTGAGACCATAAATATGTCACTTAAAAACACACACATACTACCATAGATATATATTCATAATATTTATGTAGCACTGGATTTAGACTATTTTAAAATCCATTTGCTCTCTGGAGTACCACTGATTTGTCACATTAAATGATTTTCCTCCCTAGTCAGTGTAATGTCCAGACGTGGTGTAGGAGACACACTTAGCTGCACAGCAGGTATCTCAGCAGGACATCACAGGTACTCTCTGAAGCAGCCAGGACTTAAATCACATACAGAAAAGAGGTGCCCTTCCCCCTTCTCCTTCACCTCTGGAAGGAAATGATCTGCCCTCTGCAACTGCACCGTAACAGAAGCAATTGGCATGGCAGATAGAGATAAAAATGCAATTTCTTCTGACAGATTGCTGTGCAGCATAGCCATTCTTTTCTCATTCTCCGCTTTTCTTACTTCTGTGAGAAACTTTACTCACCTAAGAAAAGATTTGGCTGGATGAATTTTTAAAACAACGGGGTCTTCTCTGTATGTGAAATGACCGCTCGCGTCTCGAATAGCTTCATCGATTCCCACCCTCACACGATATTCCTGGGGAATTTGCTGTGCTGGAGTGTAGCACTCCACTGTGCTCGCCGATATGCTGTAAAGACAGAAAAGGGTTTGCCTATCAGCATTATGAAACACAAACTCAGTTTAAAACACTGTCCTTCAGTGAGCTTCAACCCAGCCTAAGGATCCACTTGTAAAAAAAAGGCATCAATTGCCACACTGGATGATCACATTGCAAGAAATAAGCACAGTGTGAGGGAGAAACAGCAGCACCACCACCTAGGCTCAAGGTTCATCTTAACTTCATCGATTTGCTCCTTGCCTGCTGGAAGACGTTTCTCCCGTGCTGGTGACAGCCACACCAGCCCTTGCATCTTGCAAGGCAGCTTCCAGCCTGGAAAATGACAGCTTGCCACAAGTGTAAGGAGAATGATTTGCTCTGCTGTAACCAAGAGATAACATCTTTCTCTTTCAAATCCACAGTATTTACCTTGTGTTAAAAATCTCAAGAAAAGGTGCTGGTGGGGGATGTACCAGCATGTCAGAGATGTCCTACCCTGGGGACACCTGCTGACTCCAGTGCTGATGGGCAGACACAGTGCAAGGAGAAGGGAGAAGAAGGTGGAAATTCAGGAAGAGTGAGCTGAATTCAGCACAAGAGCAGAGTCTCTGGGATATTCACCTTCCCCTTGCTCTCTCATGCTTGGCCCTGGAAGTCTTCCTCCTACACTGAGCTTGGTGGGTGAGCAGGCAGCAGAGGGGTGAAGGAACCTGAAGTGTGAAGCACATAAAGTGTGCCCGCAGGAAGCAGGGAATATCAGAGGCAAAAGTAACGATTGGAGAAGCAAATGTAACTCTATCAGCTGGTTTCAGTAATTTGGACCCAACCACATGCAGGAGTGGCTCTTTACCACCTTTTTAAAGGTAGAAACAAACCTTTGATCTAGCTGCCCTCAGAACTGGGGAAAGCTGCCAGTTTAGGTAGAGAAATACCTGCCCAGAGAAACTAAGACCTGCACAGTAGTCTCCAGGCAACTTGGCTGGTGAGAAACAAGGGTGCTGCGGATGCTTACTGGGTAAGTCCCAATACAGCTGGATACCTTGAGGTCCACCTGATCACACAACCCTCGGCAGAGCTGCAGGCTGGGGGAGGAATGGCTGAAAAGCTGCTCAGCAGAGAGGGACATGGCGGTGTTGATTAATAGCTGGATCAATAGGAGACAGCAGTGTGCCCAGGTGGCCAAGAAGGCCAAGGGCATCCTGGCCTGTATCAGGAATAGTGTAGGGGAAGTGATTTTACCTGTGTACTTGGCACTGGTGAAGCCACATCTTGAGCACTATGTTCAGTTTTGGGCCCCTCACTACAAGAAGGACAGTGAGGCACTACAGCGTGTCCAGGGAAGAGCAACAAAGCTGGTGAAGGGTCGAGAGAACAAGTCTTATGAAGAATGGCTGAGAAAACTGAGGGAGCCTGGAGAAAAGGAGGCCAAGGGAAGACCTCTCTACAACTACCTGAAAGGTGGGGGTCGGTCTCTTCAACCAAGTAACAAGTGATAGGACAAGAGGAAATGGCCTCAAGTTGCACCAAGGGAAGTTTAGATTGGCTATCAGGAAGAATTTCTTTACTGAAAGGGTTATTGGGCATTGGAAACGGTTTCCCAGGGCAGTGGTTGAGCTCCTGTCCCTGGACATATTTAGGAGTCCTGTAGACATACTGCTTAGGGATATGGTTTAGTTGAGGGCTTGTCCGTGTTAGGTTAATGATTGGATTTGATGATCTTAAAGGTCTTTTCCAGTTTAGGCAATTCTGTGATTCTGTGAAAGCAGATGTCTGCCTCTGAGCTGGCTGTCATCTCACCCCCACAGTAGATGTCTGAAATGGAGCAGACGAATCATTAGCAAAAGGTTTGTATATTTGTCCAGTAGTTGACCAGCTGAGATGATGACATCAATAAATGCCACCCTAGACAATTAAGTAGTTATCTTGATAGTGATTAAATATCAGACTGGAATACCTAAATCCCTTTCCTGATTTTGACAGACTTAGCTGATTTGATCAAGAGTATACAATAAATCATTTAGCAGCAGCTAAATGGAGCTCTCCTAACTTTGAGTTTGACATCAACTAATTGACAATTGCATCCCCACATTTTCTATAAGTGTGATGTTTCACCACTATGACTTTCCATAACCATAAGGAGAGACTCAAAATTTAGAGGAATTGTTGGACATCCTGTTTCTGGAATACAGTGGGCCAGATTCTATCCTTGGCCACAGAGGTGACAAATCTGGAGCCAACCTGTTGTACCTGAAAACAGGACCAAGCAGGATTTGGGCCACACTAAAATGGCTACCAAATTCATAACGCTTGTCTGCCCCTAACAGAGAATCTGTGCTTGGTATTTAACATTTGTATTCAGCTGGGACTCAAGACATTTTCACACAGAGCACATCAAAGATTCTTGACTGGGCCCCTATTGGACCCACAAGAAATTCTGTCTTAATCATCAAAAAAATTCTGTATACACTAGGAAAAATCCTATATTGATGCTGCTTCTGATTTGGAGACTGTTTGCTGACAGTAGCGCAGAAATAGCTGATCCTCTACACAGGATACATGTTCGCATGCTGGTCAGGTTTCCGACAAGCAAACCCGTAGGAAATGGTGACCAGCACCCACTGGACGCTCATTAGGAGATGCTGGATGAACTAATGCAAGAGAGAGGGCTGAGTGTGTGACAATCTGGCTGACAAAAACGATGGGAAATGGGCAGTTTCTAGTCCATTAGAAGCTGGTTTGCTTCTTCTCTATGTAACCTTTTAATGAGGTTAATGAAGGCATTACAGGATAAACAAGTCTTCGAGGGAACTATAGTCCCTTCTGGGAACCGTAGTCCCTTCTAGGAACCTTTCAGACATCCTAAACTCAGGATGTAATCTAGAACTGAATGCTTATCACAATATCAATTCTCCGATACGTAACATGAGGAGAGCTAAGCATGTTTGTGGTTTTTTTTACTCCAAGACATTTTAATCAAGGCATTTCAATATTAAAGGCATCAGTAAATACATTACCTTTTCAACGTGCATGGCTTCTCACCAACAAAAATTCTTCTGGATTTTCCACTGTTTAGGTATTTTCCAGCTACAGTTAGCAATGTTCCTCCAGATTTGGGGCCATAGGTGGGAGAGATACTTGTTATTACAGGATTCTGAAGAGGGTGGGGTTTAAAAATAAGAACAATGGATTGTTAAATTACTTTCAAAATGCTGAGAGGAAGAATCTTAAAACATTTATTAGCATTTCAAGGAAGTTATAATAAAAGAGTAATACAGAATTACCATACTGGATTGGACTCGTGAGGAGTCTCCTTCCAGTTAATATTGAAGCTAATTTTGACAATAAAGTTTTAATCATAATGCTTACCACATACGAAAATGTTTTGAATAGTGTTTTGCCTTGTCCAACAGAAATACTACTGGATATATTAGAACTTGGAGTTTTTGCAGCAGGAACTGTGCATTCCAGCCTTTGGAAAACAAGGAAAAGACGGGATTACTTTTTGTGGGTTTTTTCCTTAATTTTTGTATTAAAATAGAACCACTTCAAACTCATAATAATGGAGGATCCATACTAAACAAATCATCAATCTATGTGCCTCAAGGACATTTCAGAAATAACAGCTAAAAGAACCATGGTCATCTTCTTTAACACTAAATGCAAACAATGTGGTGTTTATCCTCGGCCAGATAAAATAATTTTAGTAGGTCAAACACACTTCAGAAAAAAAAAAGCAATCTAGAGAAAACAAATACCTCTCATTCGACAGATGAATTGGTTTTTGGAATTTTCCTTTGGTGTCAAATTTTGCTAGACAACAGGATTAGAAAATAACGCATCATATACACTAATCTGTTGCAAAAATTTAAATATTACCACAAAACAAACGTGGACTTTGGTGGCAGCGTGTGTCAAACATTGCTTTGGTAGTAGATAGTCATATGCTTTGAAGTGAGAGAGGATATACATTGAACTTCCTTTTTCTTCAAGGTAACAACCTGAATAACCCCTGTCCTAAACTTAATACATTAGCCTTGTGTCTCAAATACTTATTTCTGAGGAGGAGAGGAGCAGCTGAGGGTCATAAGCCTTTAGATGACGAAATACCACATTCTTCTCACATTTCTCTCCAGCAGCTTCACAGATCAGGAGAAGAGAAGTGACATCACTGAGCCCAGTAGGATCCTGGCCAAAGGAACCTGCCCCCTTTTCAAACCTTTGAATAGTTTCATTCTTGCCAGCTCCCACAGACGGTGAACAGCATTTCGTAGACAAAGCCGAAAAAGCTGCTGCAGGAACTATTGGCATTGACTAGATTTATCTGATCTCCATTTCAAGCACTTTTTCTTGGGGAGCTTATTGAACCAAGGGATCGTTTCCTGTTTGGATTTTCAGAACTGGAGATGACACATACAGGCTGAATGTTTATATTGTAAAAAACATCTATACCACATAAAGAACATCTGTATAAAAGGAAATTCATATTCTAGGTTTCTTACTTGTTTTTGTTGCTAGATTTTGCTTCCAGAGCACAAATCTGTCCTCCGATATGGATTACTGTATTTTTTAATTCAAATCTATTATTTTTGCTGAATCCAAAGTCCCATCCACACAGTGTTAGTTTTGTCCCACCTTCTAATGGAGCGCTGCTTGGGAGAATCTGTTCAAAAAATATTGTGTTAGTTACGTCAGGTTTTCTTGAATTTCAAACAGAGTTAAAGAATGTGCAAAGGAATAATTTCAGAGACGCATTTCTTCTGGTAGACTATGTCCTACTATTCATCTTAATTGTTCTTCACCTTTCATTTGTCACATTATGAGCTTTCTCTGACAGTAGCAATAAATAACAAAACCTATACTAGAAAGCTTTGAAGGACAGTGTTTAGGGGCACTGAACAAGCTGTGCATTGTCATAGTCTTTTAAATCCTACTGTTCTTGTCTTTCACATCTTATTTCTGGCATGTTAAACATACAATGTACTTATTTTGTTAGAAGCTGAATGCTGAACACAAAAGAGCCCCCAAATGACCATTTTTTTGTCAGCTTGATGAAAGTCAGGTTCAGAGTGAAGAAGCTTCAAAGACCCCATAATCCGATATCGCGTTGGCTGTGATAAAGTTAACATGACTTTTGCTATTCTTTCCTTAAATCTTTTACATTTGGTCACCTCTAATTCCAAGTTAAAAATAAACTACCCCTCAGAAACACAGAGACAATCTACAAAGGAAATGCTTTTTTTTCTGTATATTGTAAATTGTGCTGTAAAATATAACAATGGTGGGAAAAATGTAGGAACACTATAGAAGTCTTAAAAAACTCAGTTACTGGTCAGTACTGCCAGTGGAAAAGAAAAAAAAAAAATCAAAAAGACATTGATTCAAGGTTTATGGGGACTTCTAACAATACTGCATAATTTTGCAAACATACCAGTACCACGGACAAACAACAGAAAATGGAAGACCGAATTTACACTTGTTGTCATAGTGCCTAAATGTCTTACCCTTAATGCTTTAGTGATAGTAATTTTGCCCCCAAAATGCAATACAGCCGTGCCTTTCAAAGGACCCGACAATTTTCAAGCTGAAAGGAAAGTGTTTGAGAGATACTTGGCTATTATTTCATCTGGAAATCCAGTAAGACAGCACATTTCTTTTCAACTCGCTTGTAGCTGTACTTCAAGACTCTCACAAATGAACTACTGTAGTTAGAAAGGCAGCTGAAGAATACTTCAAAAGAATTATACCATATATTCTATATGGGGAAATTTACTGCTCGTATTAGAAACCAGACAAAGAGTCTGATCTAAAATGCACCGAAGGCAGCAGGAATCTTTCCTACTTTAATGAGCTTTGAATGAGCTATCAATGAGTGAAGAAGAGGAAACCTATGCAGGAACAGTACTTTTGCACAAACTCCATAAAAAAAACAGCGATGCTCACACAGCTCTCTGACATACAGCACTGCGGCTAAGAGCATGGAGCAGTACTGAACCACATGGAGTCTGCATTATTCCCCAGTTTAACTTTCCCCTATTTCTTTGGGTTTTTTTTTTCCTTCAAAATCTGGATTGACTTCAGATCCTAGTGTTCTACTCTACTTAATATCTCAGCACACTATTTTTGGAGCAACAAAACCCTAGCAGAAACCGAAATTGCTCTGTGGGGGTACAGGATGTCTTGATGGTTTGTACAATAATGCATTGACGTGTCGCATTTGAAGAGTTCGAAATGTAAGCCATAAGTTAGCAAAATAAGTGCGTTAAAATTAGGCTTCACAAAGACATACAGAATAAAAACCAAAAGCACTTAACTCGACTTGGGTGATCTTAACTGCCAAAAAAGACTTGTGATAGCAGCCCATGTGTGCCTTAACTGAGGGAGAGCAGAAGTATTTACTACACTCTGCCGGCAAATTTAGGAGGCAAGACCTCCAAGTAGATAGCAAAAAATAAACTAAATCCTAAATTTGTGTGTTTAAGTTTTGCAGAAGTTCCCCCAGAGTGTTTTCATTCATGCCTTCATTTTTGTTCCATTCGTTCTGTGTGATGAAACCTCTGCAAGTCAAATGTGGTTTCCCAGACTTGTTCTTCGGAGAGTCAACAGGAATGAATAGTCAACCTCCTGGACTTCGCACTGAGGTATACACAGGAATCTTCTGTGCTCTTACAACATACAGGTAGTACAGAAAGTAAGCAAAACCCGAATCAGTTAAAAATGCTATGAAATTCCGGATTGAAAAAAGTTCTTTATCATGAAGAAACTCCACTGATAACATGGAGCAAGTCCTCCTGCAAGGCCTGCCCTTCTGCTTGTCCCTGCTGCTCTCTGGACTTTGGATTAAGGCAAGGAAAGTTAACTTTTCTTTTTGAAAAATTTAATTGATTGTGTTTTCCTTTTGCTTACGTTGACAGCCATTATGCTAATATACAGCCACATACTTTATAAAATGATGGAAGAAAGTACCTATTTATTAAAGTTTCAACAGCCCATCCATTTTAATTAAGAGGCAAGAACATGTACAGGCCACATGTGAAATTTCCAGCAAAACCTCCAACCTAAACAAACAGCAGAAAGCCTGATGTTCTCGATACCTCTGAGACAAAAGCCAGCTAAACCAACTCCCTTTAAAAACAACAACAAACCATGTCAGGTTTTTAACCAGAACAAAGAATCCAAAGGGAGATTGACTTATTTCTTCTTTTACACCGGTCACCTTTCAGCGCGACCTGAGCGCCACACGCAGATGCCTGCAATTCGTTCCAGCATCAAGTAGTCTCCTCCAGGCAGACTCCTTCGAGTCCCCCAGCTTTCCCCAAAGTTGTCCAGGCTGACAAAAGACGCCTCGCTGCTGGCAGAGGGGGTGGATGGGAGCGGGGTACAGTGCTGAGGTGCGGGTTGGGAGCCAGGTTGTGGTGGGGACGCATCCCAGTGCCAAGGGGTATGCCTGGGCAGAGCTGGAGCAATGTGCTGGCCCCAAGGGCTGGGGTGCGGGGCTGCTCCCTGACACCCATGGCTCCAAGGAAAAGTGCTTAAAGGAGGTCAGAGAGATGAAGGATCTATAGGACTCCAAGGGAAAACACTGGATTTCTTCTCTGCCACCCTCCATGAGAGGAAAATCTATAATGTTTTTTTTTCCATTGCGCACTTTGTGCAATAACCTGGGAAAACTGTTGAAGACTTAGCTAATGCCCATTGGAGCAGACCCTCGGAAAAGCTCTGTGTTCCCCTCAGGTTAAAGCGATTGCATGACATCTCTCAAGCAATCTGTCCTTCTGAAAGCTACAAAATACTAGGGGGGGCTTCGGACTGAATTTCAGACTCTATGCAAAGCAGGTCATCCTCTGTTTGTTAGGAACAAAACAAGCTTGTTTCTCATATTTTATGCATATGGGTTTAAAGACAGATCAGAAGATGATGAATAATCTGTTTTATATTTTTTTTCAGTAATAATGTTAAATGTCATGGTCCAGCAGAGCATGAAATCTGTCTTAACAGCTATCAATCCAAAGGGATTTAAGTACCCAGCTGCATTTTTTTCCTTACAAGCCTTCTAGAAGCAACTTCTACCAACTTGGGCACGCTGTAATTTGAGATTCACTTTAAGATCCATCAGTGTCACAGATCCATATTCATTACAGGGGTAGAGTGGGCTTGCGCTGAGCAGGGAGGGCTGAGCCACGTGGGGCAGGGGAGCACCCACCCAGCCCCACGACTTCTGTCACCACCCCACATCCAAAGCATGCTCCCCTGGATGAGTCCTCCCAGTGACTCCATAGGGACTTCAGAGGTGGCCCCTTGGTCTGAGCATCTCCACATGGGCTCCAGGCGTTTGGTTATTAAACCTGCTGAGTGCACACACTCATAACTGAAATTACAGAGGGCTATATGAAGCTCAGCACTTCTGAAAATCAGAAACTAAGCAGTTCAGAGCCTTAGAAATCTTTTTGGAGGCATGGCAATATATAGCCACTGCTGGAAAATTTTCCCAAGAAAAAAACATTAAGGGATGCTACTTGTGCCTGAGCTCTAGGAAAGACGAGATAAGCTGTGCAGGACAGGTGAGTCGCTTGGGCCTGCAGAGACATAAAAATGTATCAGGACTAGTTCTCACTGTTTCCCTTTGCACTGGTCCTTTGCCCAAAGGTAAATGGCAATAGAAGGCAAGGCAGACACATCCCACCCTGCCCCTTTCCATCTGAGTTTGATTCCTATAGTGCTTCATTGTTTGTTAATTGAATTTTGCCTGTGCTAGCCATAAATTTTGCATCTGAAAGGTTAACGCGGAGAAGGAAAAAAAAGCCTGCAAATGTGTATTTCTGTATTATCAGCAGTTTTGCCCGTCTAATTTGTAAAAAGTTGCTGTATATGAAATCATCAGCCTGGCTGAAATAAATACACTATTTACGTAAGAAAACCTTTTGTCTCCCTTTCTCTCCGAGAGTTTAGCATGTCAAATTCCCATCTCCATTTATAAGCTGCATGCCCATAAAGGAAAATGTAGTTTTAACTACACAGTGTAGTTTAAACACCATAATAAAAGTAAATGGGTATAAGTGCTACCAGAAAGTTTTGTACTTCTCGTTCCCTCAGTTTTCCAGTCTGTTAACTGCCCTATAAACCTCCACCTTCATGGGTCGATCTGGTTGCATAGGCTGGTACGAATCCTGCGTTGACCATGGCTAAATCAAAGCAGGAAT